ATTCCAAGGTTAGTCATTGGGATACATGTCTATGCATGTTTTCCAACGTTGAAGGCTGTATTGAAATAGTGACCTTGTTAAAGAGATCAAATATTGAACGTGGATGTCGTCTAACGTATAGTGGTCTGGAAATCAATTCATTTCAATTATGACATCAGCGTTGACTTATGGAATCAATGTCACGCAAGAATAAACATACCTGCCTTTAATGGAATCAATGTCACGAAAGAATGAACATACCTCTCTTTAATGGATAGACTTATTTTCCTCTGTAGACCAGCAGCTAGAACAGCTTCATCCCGTAGTGGAAAAGATAAACTTGCAAAGGAGCATCATATACATAGGAAGGAAAATCTCACATGAAAGTCCAGGCGTAAACCCAGAAACAGCCGCAATCTCAAACATAAAGACCAATGGCAGTGGCGTCGTTAGGGTGTTGAAGGGCGCCGACCGGGTGACATCCATCAAGGGGTAATAGAGAAGTCAAAAGAAAACAATTTTGCCTATGCTGAATATATTTTAAAGAAAGTTTTTTTGTAATTATGGTTGGGAGTGGTACCATTCTTTAATGACACCTAGTTTTACCTGGTATAAGCGGTCTGACCATGGAGTTTCAATGTCCAATTTTTGTAACTTTTATTCTGTTATTAACATCTTTAAGACCTGGACTATGCCGACTCCATTTGCAACAAAGGGCTCAGGCCAAACTGACCAAACTCTTGGAAGTAGCGAAGAATATTGAACTTCTTATCAACAAAAAGAAAACAAGAGTTATGAAGATCAATAACAAACAAGGGAACCCAATCGTACTATAGGTAGATAGACTCTTTGTTACAGAGCACTTCACTTATCTGAGAAGTAAGGTACACTGCAACTGTTGACGATATACACAATCGCATTGATCAAGTTAGGTTTGTCTTTGCCACTCTTTAAACTATCTTTCCCTTGTAAGCACTGTCTCTGCAGAACAAGGTCCAAATCTTGAACACAAAAACGTTTAGTCGGTTCTTTGATACAGTTCTGAGACATGGAGAGTCACGAAAACAAATATGGAAAAACTCATGACCAGAAACAAGTTGCCAACGCCGAGAATTATGTGGCCCGAAAGGATATCTACTTTCAACTCTCAATGGGAAACAAAGCAAATAACCATAGCCCAGAATATTAAAAAGTGAGAGTGGAGCTTGATAGGAAACGCCCTGCGAAAACCAGCTACCAATGTTGTAATGCAGTCACTTGATTGGAATCCGCTAGGAAAGAATAAAGTGGGCAGACCCAAGCAAATCTGGAAGAGTTCGGTTATCAGTGAAGTTGAGAATACTGGAATTACATGGAAGCAGATGAGGAAGGCTGCTCAGTGCCGAGTTTGGTGGAGAGGTGTGCGGCCCTATACTCCCCTGGGAGTTCACAGGAATAAGAAAGTAGGATGTTCTTGATTTGCTTCCTCTTTGATACCATTTTGGATGAACTGAGAGTCGTTGGGCGCCATCATGTTGACCTATGGATGAACGAAATATCCTAAAAACGTTTTAAAAATCTCTGAACAGGGAAGCTAGAAATAGAGCCTCGTTTGGGTGTCTAGGGACCGAGTTCATTGCACTGGCGGCGATGTAAGAAAGCCCAAGCAAGCAAGTCATTATCCACACACCGTTCGTCAAGGGGCCTTTTTTTTTTAAGGCGAACACATACACGGCTGATGTGTTACAAGGAAGAAACGTGTGAGTTTCTCCGGTGTGCTCGGCCCAGGGCCTCACTTCTAGCCCGAGCGTCCCGGGATAGGGGCCAATGATAATTGGAATGTGATAATTTACATCTGCTTGCTTGAATCTTTCCCAGATAGAGGCAAGCTTCCATAGGCCTAGAATGCTTAGGTGTATATTCTATTGCCTCAATTTCGGGGCAATAACAAAAAGAATAAGAAGCTTTTCTTTTCGTTTTAAACTTGGTTGAAAGGAATTTAAAATGCTTTTTTTTTATTTCTAAGATTGCCTATGAAATTGTTTCCCCTATTATTTTGTTCAAAGTCAAAGCTTTGACATATTTTAGGCCTAGATGTGTATGTGTGTATTGTTAAAAGCAATAGTGCATATTTGTTGTTGTTTTTTTCTTCTAGGATCCTACGTGACAGGCAGTCATGTCTACAACATGTGTACTCGGACAAGTTGGTCGTGGTGTCTTGTCTTCGTGTCTCTTCTAGTGGCAGGCACCTTCCTTGAGTGTTCCCTGACTTTCTTCTTAGTGTTGTCTTAATATTATATGTGTAGACATCTCACCCTGAAATATTTCATTGAACAGCTTTATAAAGTTGAAGTTAGTGAAAGATACAAAACCGGCAGCCATCCACGACTCGTTGTTGTTGGGTCAATGTGACCTCTGGTGGTCTACTATCCAAAGATCACTTTGTTGTTTTCTAATGCTTCAGTAGCACAGCTGATGACCTTGAAATTACTACTTCCATTTGTTTTTCTTGCTCACGGTTTAAAAAAATTCAGCTGTATCACAAGTCACAACTGTTGACTTTCTCATGCCCTTTGGGTATCAAGGGAGACAATATGTTTACTACAATCTGAGGAGAATTAATGCCTTTTTTTTTCCTCATTAAGATATTAAATTCTCTTGTCGCTGTTTTCTAATGGAACAGAACTTTGCTGTGATCTAGACAATAGGGCATGTATCAGGCTCATTTATGCTGGATGTACATGGAACAAATGTGATATAGTATTATTTGATACTATATAGATTCAAGAAATGTGTATCAATATTTAAAACATGGGCGTAGCCGGGAATTTTTGTTCGAGGGTGCATTTCTTTTTCCTTTTTTTTTTTCTCACACACAGTAGAAAGTAAGGCGTATGTATGTATGTTACGAATAGAAATCAAAACGTTTCACTAATCTTTATAAAACTTGGCCCTCCATCCTCATAGACGATAACAAGCTGGACGCCGTAAATGAATTCTGCTTTTTGGGATCCACAATTCAAGATGACCTGTCTATAGAAGAGATTTTAAAAAAACGCATAGGGAACTGTAGTTTTTCTATATTTTTTTTAATTAATGGAATTCGGTCACCATAGTTCTGCTTTAGTTTCTTTTTTTGTTTTGTTTTATTACAGGGGGTTTTCAGCTCAGAACCACGCTTGCCCAGCTTAGGGTTTAACCTCATAAAAACCTAAGGAAAGAAAAAGCAAAACTAAAGCACCCCCTGGTTTTTATTTTAAAAAATTATTGTGGGGCGTTTTAAAACCTCCATCGGCTACGATTATGGAATATGATGACTGTCACCAAACACTCATCCATGCGGAATTTAATTCGGAGGGGGGTTTGAAGCCCGACCCCATTATTTAAAAGAATGTTATCTAATGGTAAGAAAGAAGGAAATGAACATTTCTGTGTTGACTTAATTGGATCAAATGTGCAGTGTGCAAAATGGCATAGATCTATATATTTACTTGAAGTCTAAATCTGTTCACATACACTATACATCATTTAGTAGATTAGTGTTCTCAGGGTTGGCTTTTGGTCCGCGTTGTTTATTTGGTGACTAAAGCATTGAACCATGTGATTACGTCACGAACCTTCTTGTTTGCATAGGTGTGTGTCATTAAGTATCTTCTAGTTTATGTAGGTGTGTGTCATTAAGTATCTTCTAGTTTATGTAGGTGTGTGTCATTAAGTATCTTCTAGTTTATGTAGGTGTGTGTCATTAAGTATCTTCTAGTTTATGTAGGTGTGTGTCATTAAGTACCTTCTAGTTTATGTAGGTGTGTGTCATTTAATATATTCTTGTTTTTTGTGTGCAAAAAAAAATGTTTTTGATTCTCGTGTTTGCAGTGAGAAAACAAAAAGTCTTTAAGTGTTTCTATTAGATGTAGGACTAAGACATAGCAGAGTGCCTACTGGGACAAAGATATCAACTGTTCTAGTGGTAATTAGTATTAATGACAATGCTACTTAAATATGGAGGAATTGATAAATAGTTTTGTTACTTGTAACAGCAAAAAAAAAAACAGTCACAAATGTAGCCAATGTGCTAAATAAATTGTAGCATTGTTAGCCATTGGACGTTACATCACATTAACTCATATGTTCAGTATTAGATGTAACCTTGTATGTTCCGTAAGCGATGAATCACATTTAGCCTTGTATGTTTCATAAGAGATGAATCACATTTAGCCTTGTATGTTTCATAAGAGATGAATTATGTGCAGCCTTGTATGTTCCATACGTGATGAATTGCAAGTAGCCTTGTGTGTTCCATAATTTACATGCAGCTATTCTTGTATGTTCCATAAGAGATTACTTATGTGTAGCCTTGTATTTACCATAAAAGATACCATGTGTAGCCTTGTATGATCCATAAGAGATGATAACATATATCCTTCCTTATATGTTCCATAACAAATAAATTATGTGTAGCCTTGTATGTTCCTTAAGAAATGAATTACAAGAAGCAGCCTTATATGTTCCATAAGAGATGAATTACATATAGCCTTGTATGTTCAATAAGAATTTGATTGCTTGTATTCCTATATGTTAAGTGAAATTTGTATTAAATGTAGCCTTATACTTTATATTTCACATGTAAAAAGCTGAATCAAGGAAATAAATTTGTTTAAAGTCTTTTTGTTTCTTGAATGCACTTGTGTACAATGAACTAGATATAAAGTTGTTGGAACACCCAGCTCCAGTTGGTTTATATTTAGAACATGTACACAAATACACTTTTAAAAACAATATTCTCTGAAGTCAAATCCAGTAATGTGATCACATAGCCATTCTTGTCAAAATAAAACAACAGAATAAAAGTCAGTATCCCCCCCCCCCCTTGTACAAACTAAAATAGATTCTTGCCTGCAACATTTTGGGTTGCATTGTTGTTTGTTCTATTGTTATCTTGCACATTTGTATCTTTTGGTTGATAATAGTGCTCCCTTATTTGGACAATGTTCCAAGATTTGCATAAACTCTGAAAACATTTACTGACTTATAAACTCATCAAGTGAAAAATGTTTCTATTTTTAATACCCAAAAAAATTTTGAACAGAAAATAAAGCAACATTTGTCTAAGTTCAGTTCCTCCTGTTATTCATTCAAGAATTTCATGACAGAGTGAAAGCAATGAACTGAACAAACATTTCAACAAAATAATATCATGAGTTAAATGAAAACATACTGATTGAACAAAACATGTCCTAGTACTCAAACTGACAAAAAGGCAATAAGCAACACTAACCAGTGTACATAAACATTTTTAAAAAATACAAGTCTGTATTAGTTAGTCTTTTTAGCAATATTGAAACAGAGTGGCCTAGAGTTAAAGTATGTTGTTATATCCTAGATGTCACAGGTTTAAAGCAAGACACTTTTTACCCTTAGTGCTAGATGTCACGGGTTTAAAGCAAGACACTTTTTACCCTTAGGGCTAAATGTCACAGGTTTAAACCAAGACACTTTTTACCCTTAGGGCTAGATGTCACAGGTTTAAACCAAGACACTTTTTACACTTAGGGCCAGATGTCACAGGTTTAAACTAGGGCCAGAAACTTCAAAAATTGGAGACAATGGGCACTTAGCTTCAGTAAAAGTCTTCCTTGCATTTATGGACTTAAGTTATTAACATTTTGAACAAGTAGATCCCACAACTGGTCACAAGACTGACTTTATCTCACTTCCTGTGAACTTGAAACTCTTCTATTTGTCTATTACATGAGTTGCTCTGAACTAAAAATTACAACAGAAATTGAGTTACTATTCCAATACTGTCATCCAATAACTATGAATTCTTAAAATATCTAAACCTTGAAAAACTATTGATTCTTTGCTCCTATAAAAAGGAGAGACATTCTCGATGACTCATTACCAACAAAATTAAAAACCATTTAACATTTCTAACAAACAAAACATATAATCAGTTTACTAATTAGAAATAAAATAATTCTGATATTTATAGAACAAATACAAATTATATTTCCCAAATTACTTTTTTTTAAGAGTAAGCAGTTGCTGTCAAATTCAAAACAGATTACAAATATTAGTCTATTCATCTGATGAGACACCTTCAATGAAACAGATATCTTGTAATAAATAAAAACAATGAGATTAAACATAAACTGTATGGAAAATTGCATTTTAATTCAAAGAAAACAATATGAAAGAAAACAATGTGAAAGAAAACTTCAAATAGACAGTATTTTATTTCAATGTAAACCAATAGAAAATAGCAATAAAAAAAAGATAAGACTGAGCAAAGATTACAACTAGGTCTAGTAGCACCACACCCTAGCAGTTAATGTGGTTTAATAAATTATCGATTCTTAACATAATTCTTAGGACAAACATAGTAGCTTACATTATAAGACATTCTGTAGACATATAATTGACTTCAACTGATTTCACAAACTAAAATACTTCATCTATTGTTCATTACAACTGATTGTAACACCCAAAGTATAAATAAAGTTGAGAATCAATAGACATCTGCCCTTTTTTTAATTTTATTTATCATATAGAATTTCTTTTTTTTTTCTAAATTGTGATGGCTACTTAAGGTATGGGAAAAGACCTGGGATATATAGATATTGCAAATTATTGATAAATATACATTTTTTCTTCTTTATGCTTGCTGAGCTGTTAGGCTCTTGGGAACAAAAAATGCTTGAAATATTTATTTATAAAAAGAAAATTAGAGAAAGGTTTAAAAAAACAACATTGTGAAACAAAAGAATTCAGTTAGTTTATAGTTTGAGTGACAAATCAGTCCAAATGAATGAAGACAAACAACTGACATTTGTAAAGATGGTTGATGGGATGCATGGCCAGCTGATGGCGAGATTTTAGAGAAATTATTAGAGATGAGAACTCAAAGTGTGATGACAAACACTGACTGTAACCATGTTGCAGAATAAAATAGAAAAGTTACAAGTCAAGTTAACATCACTTTGTACTTCTAGTAGTATTAAAAGTGTTTTCTTATTAACAACTCTTTTCCTTGAATACTGAACCAGTTCCTGAACCAGTTCTTATAGTCAAGCATTATTTGAGGAAACTATTTTATTCCTTTGATGTATTCTTAACATTTGTTGCTACACTCTGTTAGTTTTTACATGTGACTTTTTGTGATCAAGTTCTAGCCAACATCACAAGTACTTGTGTAACTTCGCCATCAACTTTATAAACGTCCAAATGAAAAGTAGTACATTGAATTGAATTATTTACAGAGAACTAAACAAAAAAAAATGTTAACTATAGATTCTTGATAAGATTATTTATAATTTAACAATAGATGGGAAAAAAGTCAAACTTTCTTTTCATATAAAATTTTTAGCACCTTTAAACTAACAAAACAGTGCTATGTCAGTTTAACAGCCAGACAGATAGCAATGCTAAAGTTTTCTGTTTTGTATTATTTAAATAATGAATGTATTTGTTAGCAATGATCAATCATTGCACAAAAGAATTTGGCACAGTATTACAACACCTAGAGCAAGTATAGTGACACATTTTTGTTAGATATGGATAAGACTCTGGATGTTACAAAGGGGCTTGGTGATCAGATTCCAAACACATTCTTTATTAGCTATAACAAAGAGATATGGGTGTCAGAAAGCACCTTCACTATAAGTAAACAAATATTTGACCATAAAGTCCTGACTAATCTAGATGTAGATTTTCTATTCATTTTCAAACATTTTCATCTGAGTTATGTTAACTATCAGATTAAAGCCCATTGCAACTAGAACACTTTGTTCAATCTTTATCTTAGTGAAAGTACAAACAAGTTCAACTTTAAAATCAGATCAGTCTTAGTTTTGAAGTTAGCAATGATTTCTCTGTCAAAGTGTAAGGTCAGCACTGGACACTGTCCAGGTGGTTAGAGTACAAGGGTAAGAATATCACACAAACTACACTTAGGTCAGTTGACATTCTCTCCATTTGATTCACAATGGGCATAAGCTGTGTCCACCAACTGGCCATTGCCATGTAGATAAGATGCTCCGCCGAAGTCAGCAGCTTGACTTCCTAACAAAGAAGTTGACAAAATACTGAAGTCTTTGATCTCTTCTCTTGGTATTCATTCTTAGACCTAAGAGCTATCCATCAATTCTGGCAAGGCATTATTCTGTGGAAAGAAAAGTCATTTTATTCTTTAAATGTCTTGAGGCTAATGCTCATTGTCAGAACACAAGAAAATTCTTTAAATAACATAAGTATTTTCATATTTTGACCATTTCCATGTCCTAATTTTGATATTAGACCCTAAACCAAAATTCAACTGTGAAAAGATGTGACATAAATATTGATTTATTTATATTTCTCATTGAGCATCTTTAAAAGAATAAACCAAATGTGAGTCAGTTTAAAGGACAGTACATTGATTCAAACTGTTTTATAACACAACTCTTAATAACTCTTTCATCAAAATCAATTTTAAAATTAGCATTGAAATCTAGTTATCAACAACTTTGTCAGATTTGATTAACATTATGTATTAATAAGAAAAAGTTGTGCAAAAATAATAATAACAATCTGAAAAAACAACATTAAGTTTCATCCATTTGAGAGCAATTGATGTTATGATAAAATATGTCAAATAAAAACATTTTTCCACTCATATTACTGCTAGTCTGGCACTATTGATTCAACTGAAAAAGTTGATACTAGAATCTTTAGTACTTAGCAGACTTTGTTCAACCTTAAATGTAAACACAATTTTTAGTGTATGATAGTAATACTTTTACATGCTTTATACAATTTAAATTAAAAATTGGATTAAAATTAAGTATAAAACTAAACATAGCACAACCTATCTAAAAAAAAAAGTACTAGGGCTTTATGGGATTAAAATATACACCTCCAAATGAGGCTTGTAGAAGTTAGTTTGACAGTCACCTCAAGAGTTAGTTGACATTTACCTACAAATATAGTAATATATTAATCTACCTTTAAATCTTCCCTGTCACTGTCAGGAGCCTGTTCAGTGATTGCTGTTATATTGTCAGACATGTCATTTTCTATATATGTTTCAGAAGATGTTACTGTAGCTTCCATTGTAACATCCTGACTCTGCACATTACTGTCATTAAGAGGAGTACATTGTCTTGAGCTGCACAAGTCAGACTCGGTGTCCATAGCTGCTATGTTAAAGGCCACCTTCTCAGCTAAAGCTGCAATAGGATTGCTCTGTCCTGACCAACTCTCTGATGACTTGCTGGGGGAGACATTAAGGTCTGACTTCAGACTTTCATTATATTCATTGCTGTTCAAATGAACATTACTTGCTTCAGACGGAGAGGCTGGGGACCGACTAGAATTGTTCATTCCTGACTCACTGAACCTGTTCAAAGATGCTAGCTCATTGGACTTGTTTTCTAATGCCTGAAAGATAGATGGTGAGGGAAAGCTGCTGCTGTGTGTTGGGGATTCCTTGGTGCTCTTGTAGACAGAAGAAAGCTGACTTTTTTCTTCTGCAGCTTTAGCATCTCTATCAATGGATTCCACAACTTTCTCCATCCTGTTCACCCACTGATGGAGAAGGTCAATGCGTTCATTGACTGTATTCTCTGGGATGGGACTAAGTTCACTGTAACCAGGGCCCTTGCGAACCAGTTTAGCCTCTGGAAGATGGGCTCCCAAAGCATTTTTGATCAAAGGCAAATTCCTGATGACTTGAGCTGGGTTTAAGCTGTGAGAGGCACTGTCATCTAACATCTTCTCTATGTCTTCATCTTCCTCTTCAATAGACTCCTGTCTGGAGGCTGGATCACACATGTTGTTAAGCCTGCGTGCTTCATTACGTTTGGGAGACATTGGGATGTCTGTGGGCATTCGTTCCTCTTGGCTGGTGCTTGACCTAAGTGAGTGGCCTGGACCTTTAGGAGTAAAGAAACAAACATCCAATTAGTTAAAAGTAACACAAAAGTTTCATATGAACATCTTGTGCTTTATAAGGCAAAACTAAAGTCCAATCTCTTCCATCTTTAAATAGGCTACAGACTAGTGCCATGCTTACGTCTTCATAAAAATCTACCTTATATTTAAATATAATTTTAAATAAAATCCAATGTGAGAAAAAAACATCATAATTTTCATACCTTTTCATACCTTGATACTAGTTGAATATGTTAGGTGAATCAAAACAATGAAGAATTCAATTATTATTAGAAATAAAATGGTTCTAATCTAGTTCAAATGTTAGCTCTAGATGTTGTTACATTGAACAGTCATCAAGTAAATACAGAATATTCCCAGTTTGGTAAAACCTTTACAAAACTATGCATGACATCTAAGTTGTATTGAGGATGTTTCAAATGTTGGGTTTATTAGTTTCACTTATTTCCAGATTAAGGTTTTAAAGTGGTGACAAATCCAAGT